AACTAACTAACTAACTAACTAACTAACTAACTAACTAACTAACGAACTAACTAACTAAATAAATACTAACTAACTAACTAACTAACTAACTACTAACTAACTAATAACTAACTAACTAACTAACTAGCTAACTAACTAGCTAACTAACTAACTACTAACTAACTAGCTAACTAACTAGCTAAGTAACTAACTAACTAACTAACTAACTAACTAACTAACTAACTAACTAACTAACTAACTAACTACTAACTAACTAACTAACTAACTAACTAACTAACTAACTAACTAACTAACTAACTAACTAACTAACTAACTAACTAACTAAACAACTAAACTAACTAACAACTAACTAACTACTAACAACTAACTAACGACTAAACTAACTAACTAACTAACTAACACAAACTAACTAACTAACTAAGTAACAAACTAACTAACTAACTGATTTTTATGATCAAAAATAGAACAGTGAAAAATTTACACGTTTCCTTTAACTTAAACGGCTTAACATTACCCGATTTGTTCGGCATACTGCGAAATCAATAGTGTTTTTTACGAAAATTTAAAACTGTCAAAAATACCAAAACTTTTTTCTAAATTCCTCAAAAGTTTTTTTAATTTCTTAAAGTTTCGATAAATTAAAATAAAATTATGGATTTTTTTTAATTACAACATGTAGATTTTTTTAATTTTTACAAATTTGAATTTTTCGACTTTTAGACTTCATAAAAAATTGTTGATTTTTAAAAATTTTGCAATATAACATATAAAATCAATAATAAATCTAATTTTTTATAATGTTCTATAGTTAAAACTAAAAGTAAACTATTCATTCGTTGTATTGCAATTTATGAAAAGTCTACTTTTCAATATTGTTTAATTATTTCAAAATAAATTTGGCGCCTTGGATTGTGTTTGGCCAACGTTTGGCATCACTCACAAGAAACGCCAGATATGGCAACACATCTCAATAATTTTGGCGAACTGACAAAAACCAGTGTTGTGCGAATAAAATTATTAAACAAGTATGTAGTTGCTGTTGAATTTTAAAAGTCAACGTCGTTAAATACAACTTAGCTAAGACGACTGGTATAATAAGTAATTTTTTTGTATAGTTCTCTTTGAAATATAAATATAATTTAAATATTGAAATTCTGATAAAGAAGTTTTAATTTTTTGTTCAATTTGTGCAAATTTTTGTTTAACCGGCTATCAGACGTTATGTCAACGTCTTTGACATTGTAAGATAGACGGCCAACGCCGTTGTTTTTAAGCACTTGTTTGGCTTAGTTTTCGGCGACCTATTTTCTTATTATTGACACAGAAAAACGCCGAGAAACGAAAAACACAAAACGAAAACAAGTAAGAAAGTATAGTCGGGCGTGACCGACCATATGATACCCTACACCAGTTATCAATATTAAATGTGATTTATTTTTCATAATAAACCATTTATCATTTAAGCAATTATGGATGAAAAGTTAAAGTTTATAAGTTAATTTTGGGTATTGAAGTAATTTTCTGAAGGGGACTTTGTATGGGAGCGAGGTCATCAAGACTTGTATAAAACTTAGTTATGCCGACTTTTATCAATATGCAGGTATATTTAACATAATTATGAGCTCAGAAGCCCTTTTCGGGGGGTTCTGTTGTATGGGGGCTAGGTGAAATAATGGACTGATTTTAACCATTTTCAATAGGCTTCGTCGTCCTTGAGCCAAAAATCGTGTGTGTCAAATTTCATCCAATTATCTTGAAAATTGTGCACAAGGTTTACATGGACAGCCAGACAGACGGACGGACATAGCTTAATCGACTCAGAAAACGATTCAAAGCCGATTGGTATACTTTAAGGTGGGTATAGGAAGAATATTTTTGAATGTTACAAACATCAGCACAAATCCAATATACCCTCCCACTAAAGTGGTGTAGCGTATAAATAGCATTGCAATTGGTAGAGACCAGAGACTTGCGCCGATTCGGCTTAAGCCGACTAAGCCTAGCCGCCGAACAAAATATCAAAGCCGCCGCCGAAAATTGTTCATGCTTGAAAATTTCGCCATATTTTTGATTGCCGTATTCAGGGGGTATCCTTGGGATACATACTTATTATTATACCATTGATCTCAGCAGAATCACTAATACACCCATAATAGAGCGCGATGTCTGTCTGGTGTGCCTTTCAGTGAAGCTCTTGTTGTCTCCAAACACTATGGTGGCCGAATATTTACAAGAAACAATTGTTAACCCGCCTTTTATACAAATTTATAGCTTTGTAGAGAATGTCTTCACGGACCTAGAGGATATAACATGGCTAGGTATGTAGATGTTGTTTGGGCAAAATATTGGTACTAACCATTGTGGGCTTTATGTCGACTTTAGATCCCTTATAGTTGTCACACTATACCAAATAAGCATTCTTGCTGGAATTAAGGTTTAAAACAAGTTCAATTCCAGTCAAACATTCAAATTTCAAGTGTTGAAATACACTTTCATTACACTTTAATTCAATAGCATTCTCCAGTGAAAATGAAACTTGAATTCAAGTCGAACATTACAATGTTTTTACAGTAGAATTCAATGCACGAAATCTATATACATACGTATATAAAATTCTAACGTTACTGACTGACTGATTCATCATCGTAGAGCCTAAACGGTTGAAGCGAAAGAGCTGAAATTTGGGCAGAAGGTTGGTCTCCCACCAAATGTATCCAATAAGACGGGATTTTTGGAAATTCGAATTTTTTGGGGGTTAAAAAAGGGTAAAAACGTAAATTCGGTAACCTCAAATCTCCTTAACTAGAAAAGTTACAAAAACAGTTAAAGCGGACAGGTGTCCGGTAATTTTTTCAAATTCGGCCCCTTTGGGGAATAAACGCTTAAAAACTGTAATTTGGTACTTCTTTTGAACCCTATGTATCTTTTAAACCAGAGAACATTCAAAAAACATTCAAAACATTTGAATACTTCATAACTTGATGAACAAATAAAAATATGAATTTAGTACTTTTTGGATATTCAGATTGATTTTATTCAAGAAACACTAAATATGCTAATGGAACATGAATGGAAATGGAACACCGGTACCAAGTTATATTTTTTTTTATTTTTTCATTCTCCAACTGGTACTTTTTGAGTTTTCTATGATATTGAAATCGAAACATGAAATTAATAATTAAGGGACTTTTCGGAACTTTTTCGTTCTACAAAGGTATTTTTTGAGTTTTCTATAAAATTTAACCTAGAAACATGAAATTGAGCAAGTAGACTCCGGAGTAAATGAGAATCTATAAAATGGGACTTATTGATACTTTATCGTACTTCGACTGGTACTTTTTTGACTTAGAACTTAAAAACATTTAATTAAGCACTTGAGAATCTATAAAAGTGGACTTTTTTCTATAATATTAAACCTAGAAACATGAAATTAGGAATGTACAGCCCGGATTAAGTAATAACATATAAAAGGGGACTTTTTGGTACTTTTTCGTTCCTCAAAAGGTATTTTTTGAATTTTCTATAATATTGAACCTATAGACATGAAATTAAACCTGTAGGGCATGGAGTAAGTGAGAACATATAAAATGGGACTTTTTGGAACTTTTTCGTTCTTCCTATGAACCTAAAAACATAAAACTAAGCAATAAGGGACTTGAGTGAATGAAAATTTAAACTGGAGTATTTCTGGTAATTTTTCGTTCTTTAACTGGTACTTTTTGAATTTTCTAAAATATTGAATATATAAACATAAAATTAAACACGCAGTATCCTAATTGAACGAAAATTTATCTCGCTTACGTCCGTTTTGCAAAAAGGGCTCGATATCAATCGAAATCTCTATAGGCCATAATTGACCCTGCCCCCTTCAATAATTGATTTTAACGTTTTCTACGTACTTAATAATACCATAATAAAACAATTTTTGTTGCAACGAAAATATATAATGTAAATATGTACATATATGAAATCTTCTTCAGAAAATGACTTAAACGCACATAAATGGCTTTCAAATGGCGATGTCGACAAAAAAAAAACATTTTTAGGGACCGAAACCTAAATTTATGAAAAATAAAATTATGAGGATCGGTCCGCCAATATAACCCTCTTACAGAAAATTAGTTTATAGCTAATACATCATTCCAAAAGTTATCATTATGGTAGAATTAAAAAAAAAATACTTTAAATTATAGAAAACTTTGTCCATAATTGACCCAATTCCACATTTAAGTCCCTTATCCGAAAACCACGGTGACGTTCTTATTATTCTAATGATCAAAGTCCATATATATATATATATATGTATATGACCACTTCCGAAATTTGCTCTTTTACGATATATGATTTGCCGAATATCCCATATGAACTAAATATAAAATTTTGTATATCTGGGAAACTATTAGATTATTCAAAAATTGCAAATTATTGCGTGGAATCTCCCATATGTAACAAATTGTAAATCTGGAAAACCATTGTAGTTAGAATCATCAAAATCGTTAAGTGGGTTTCTTATTTATATTGCTTTTAGGGTAGCACAGCACACTGGGTATAGCTAGTAAATAAATAAAATATCTTTGTTTTTACGTTATTGATCATTTTCTTAATGCAAAATTTTTTAGAAACTGATTTTCTGCAAGATGTTTTATATGGAGGATAGGATTAAATACCGGCAGATCCTCGTAAAACTTGGAGAAAGGATTTGTTTTTAATTTTTAAGAATTTTTTATTCATCCCTGCATAATTTCTCACACAACTTTTGAACTTGCTCTGTTTTGTTGTTATAAACAATATATTTGCTTCCAAAATTCCACTTTCTGATCTCTCGCATTCCGTTTTTATTTAAAATCGTTGAAAATTTAAAAACTAAACGTAGTTGAAAACTTAGCCGGCTTACAGTCGATTTTAAGCCGCCGCCGACATATTTAGTGTCAGTCGCCGCCTTCGTTATTATTTGTCGACGCAGGGCTCTGGTAGAGACTCGTAAAGACTAATAAAATTTTGTGTAAACTAAGCAAAAATTTGTTTAAAGTTTTATGAAAAAGTATTGAATTACAAAATCAAAATATTCTTTGCTTAGCTACAGAATAATTTGGAAGAAATCTTTAATTTCTTTGATTAGTCGGCGTCAGTACTACTACAGCTCAAGGAACAAAAGTTGTAGTTAAAAAGTTTTCGCTTGTGTAAAAACGCAATTATTAGTGATTTAACTAAATGTCAAAATGAAAGTAACAATTAAATCATGGATGGGAGTTGCATCATGGCGTTGGATAGCAAACGATGAAAATTGTGGCATTTGTCGTATGTCCTTTGAGTCAACTTGCCCGGAATGTGCACTGCCCGGCGATGATTGTCCTTTAGTGTGGGGCGTATGTTCGCATTGTTTTCACATGCATTGCATTGTTAAATGGCTGAATTTGCAACCCTTGAATAAACAGTGTCCAATGTGTCGGCAAGCTTGGAAATTTAATATACATTAGAGAGCAGAGCAGAAGTTACAAATTCCTGTGTGTAAAAAGAAAAGTTAAAGTAAAAGTTTAAATAAATAAAAAAAAGTAATTGAAGAAAATTGAAAATTTTGCACAAAAATATTGAACATTAGTTTGACATTTAACAAAAAGGAGTGAATATTATCGAAAAATTTTGTAAGGAAACAAAATTTAAAAGCAAATATTGATTAAAAGTTTTTTTTGCAACAACAACAACTTTAATAGCAAGAAAAAAAGTAAGAAAGAACAAATACAAAACTAAAATGAAAAGAATAACGTTTTTTCCCTTTAGGTAAAGCAATAGAGTTGAATAAGAGAGAAAGAGAGAGCAATAGCAAGCGTAAAAGCGAATGTTGGAGTGTGTGTGTTAATTTTTTTCCAATTAGAAAACTAGTAAGAAAAACAAAATCAAAAAGGATATTAGTAGTTAAAAGAAGAAGAAAAAAGCAAGAAGTAATTGAAAAAATAAAAACCGGTAGAGTAAAATGGAGGAAGAAAAACTTACACTGCCCGGCTTGCCGCCTTTGCCAAAAAGTCTTAGTGCTGCTATACAGCATCCCTCAACAGCTTCACCCCTTAATCATGGACACAATAGTCATCATTTCCTAGATCCTGATTTATATTTGGGTGCCTCTACTTCCTCTTCGGCGGCGGCACATCGTCAACGTGGTAGTGGAGGAGGTGGTGGAGGCAGTAGTGGCGGTGGGGGCAGTTCAAATTCTTATCGTCATGGCAGTTTATCTTCTACGCAGGAGTCATTAAGTGACCGTGAAAGTTTACACAGTCGAGCCTCCTCCACACACAGTGGCCAGCTTCATTTATATCAATCACAGCAACAGCACACTCCTACCAACAACAATCATTCGAATCACAGCAGCAATAATAACACCCACAACAATCACCATCATCAGCAGCAGCTGCATCAGTCACGTACTGATAGTGATAGCACTTCCACTTCTAGTACCACCTCTAAGCTAGACACCCAATTGGCTATTCTAAGGCGAGAAATGTATGGCCTAAGGCAGCTGGATCTATCGCTGCTCTCTCAGTTGTGGGCTTTAAATGAGTCTATACAGGGATTTCGTGCTTATCTGCAGGAACAGGAGGCTCTCTCGCCACCCTCTCCCTCACCCACACCCTCTGAAACTAATTCATTAACTTCAGAGCCAGAAGATGAGTCATACTCAAATCATCAGCCGGTTAATAATGCCAAGCTAATGCCTCAGATCTCGCTAACGGCTCAACAGCAGCAGCAACAGCTGCAACAACAACAAATAATACCACCAAAAAGAGGTTCAACCACTTCCCATGCCTCCTCTACCACAACTTCCAATACTTCTGGTTCTTCTTCGAACAACTCCTCTATAACTAAACACCAGCAGCAACAGTTGCATCAACAGAAACAACATCATCATCACCACCAACATCATCAAAGCAGTAGTCAAGGTATGCCTCCCTTAGCACCAGCACCGCAAAAATCACATCCACAATTGCCACGTATACTACAGCAGCGTATGCGTCGTGCACCACCACCGCCACCACCAAATCGTCCTAAATCTTCGGCCTCTATAGCCTCGGCAGCTTCAATATCGACCAACACCAGTCATGGCGGTGGTCGTCACAGTAGTAAATCTTCGTCTCCCTCTCCTTCACCTGGAGGCAGTATTGGTGGTGGTGTGGGTGCCACTGCCACCTCATCGACTTCGTCATCATCTTTGGCCCAAAGGCATGTATGACAAAATCCCTTCTTAGACTAGGCCCTAGAGCTGCCCGTCTAGTTTAAGAACAAAGGGGATAAACAAATAACAAACAAAACAATTGCATCACACCAAATCAACAGAGTTACATACCGTAATAACAACTACAACAAAACAACTTTAAATCAAAAGTATAAATCAATAATTTTTAACTGAAAGGAAAAATAAAAACAAATCGTTATCAATCATCATCAAGTTAAAGTCAATTCAATGCGTTTTGTATAGAAGACATTCATCTAACTAAAATACTCATTTAACATAATATATAGAAACTTCTGCAAACTCAAGTAAGTTGGTTTTTCTTTCTTATTGTTTTTATTTCTAAGAAAAAAATAATAGAATTTAAACCAAAAAACAAAAAAAAACCTAACTTATACGAAGAAGAAAAACAAAAGACATTTCACTATTATTCACATTTCTGTGTTTTTAGTTTGTAAGAATTTAAAGCAAAAATACTTTTTTTTTGGCTGATAATAAAAACAAATTACAAAAAATTTTATTAAATTATTAACTTTTTTTACAAAATTTAATTCTTTTTTTTTCCAAATTTTATACTATAGAAATTGAATTAAGTGGATTTATTGAATATTTTAAACAAAATTTTTACAATTTTTTTTTATAAATTTTGTCAAATTTTACTTTTTTTTTTAAATATTGGAAAATATTTAGTTTTAGTAACTTGTTTCTTGTTGAAAATCATTTTTAAAGGGTTCTTGTTCTGATGGTGATTTTGAATCCGTTTTTGCTTATCACCACTTTTTTTAACGTTCGGCTTGTGCGTTATATCTTGGATGATATGGGGCGGTTGTTATATGTGTGAAACCTCGATCTGCTATAAATTTCTTGAAAAGAGTACTTACAAATTGTTGTAGTTGTGATATTGGAAATATTCAAAAATTTCAGTTCATTTCGAATATGAGTCAATAAAAACAAGGTGGTATAAGCCATTGCAAGGACCACCTGCAGTGTCAATGTACTAGATGCATTCCATAGGTTTATTTGTTATAGTCCTCGATATCCTCGATTAATTCTTTCTTTACCTTGATGGCCACGATGAAGTTGTTTAAGGATATAAAATCTTAATCTTGAGTTCTGCCGAAATGTTGTTTATCCAACCATTGTTTAGCGCTGATATGAGTGATTGCAGTGTTTTACATTTGTTTTACAGCGCAAGCAATTACTATGACTTTACCAAGATTCATGTTGGTATCAATGAGTGTTGACAATACATCAACACATCCAAATACTTTGGTATTTGATGTATCAGATCTTGAAATCATATGTCGTAAGAACGACCATCATATTTGCATATTTGTTTGCTATGCTGGAACATCTGATTGTTGTAAGAGGTGTGTGATCATTATACGAAATGAAATGTCTTCCATAAACCATCTTGTGACATTATGTTGCCAAGAAATTTGATTTCATTAGCGAAAAAATTGTATTTGTAACATCAGGTGAAATCAATCTTCCGTTATACCGGAAGGTGGCCACCCTAATGATGTCATGAAAGATTGCATTATATAAAATCCAATCCCCATCAACTAATGACCCATTCCGGTGCATTCCTTAACCTCTTAAAACCCGCGCAACCACACTACTGAGATGGATCTGTTGATTCGGCAACAGCAGCTAGAGACGTATTTGGTAGTCCGAAATACCCAGCAAATAAATCGGGATCCCTCTGTATGTCAGATAATGGGACAAAGGATGTAGGAATTTCCAAAGACAAATCGAACCGAATAATTGTCCCCACACAAGTTGAGTGGTGGGCCTCAACCATAAGTTGCGTAGCATGAAACAATATGAGTCCTGTTGAGATGGCAACAACACCGAGAACTTTCCTGAAGTAAAAGGTCTACTAAATCAGTACTAGTCTCCTGTCGGCCAGTGGAGTCTTTCCCGATCGTTCAACAATTACATCAGTTCCATTCTCAGACCATAAAGGACGATCTACGGGATGACAGGCAACTACCAAGTGTCAACCTGAAAATAACCAACCTATACTGGCGCCCTACTACGCAAATAGTAAAAGATACTCAACGGGTTTAGGAATCCAGCATAAGTTGCTCTGTCACATTACCCAGTGACATCTGTTGTGATGGCAACAGCACCAGAGAGAGAATCCAGACATATATAAGACTGTTGCTTGATTTCAAATGGTCTAGAATTATTCTAGTTTTCCTCGATAGTTTATATTCAGTGTCTACTGTAGATGGTGGGCGTAACCTGCGAACGTGGTATTGTTGCCTTCTCTATGTATGTTTTTGTGTGTGCAGAAAAAGAAATAAAAAGACAAGAAAGTTAAGTTTTTTCAAAAAAAAAAAGTTTATTTATTAAATTTATATTTACCTTAAAGATTCTCAAAAGGGGTTGTGCACTAAACCAAGTGGTTGTAATGGCGTTCACTTAACAAGTGTTTTAAAAAACAAAAAAAACTATGCAACTAGTTGCGAATTACTTTATACCGTTAGCGGTTTTACTAGTTAGAATTTATCTCTACACTTTTTCAAAGATGAAAAAAGAAGTAGTTAGATAAATCCTAACGTAGTATAAAGGGAATAGAAAATAGGGTTTCAAATTAATTTCTAAAATGAACATTGCCGGCCACCTTGCAACGACGAAGTTAGTTGCAACAACAAATGAGAAATAAAGGTTAATAAATCTAGGATAAACTTATACATATATACATTTTTTTTTTATTATTATATATCTATTTATATTATGTTTTCTTTTCAATTTTTTTTTTTCCATAATTATTATTTTTTTTTTTTTTTCAAATTTTAAAAATATCGACGAAAGGTCAAAGGACCTGGGTAGATTTTTAAGAAGTCTCTCGACTTTCCCCACAGAACCGAAGTCCCACAGGTGAATTTTTAAGAAGTCTCTCGACTTTCCCCATAGAACCGAAGTCCCACAGGTGGATTTTTAAGAAGTCTCTCGACTTTCCCCATAGAACCGAAGTCCCACAGGTGGATTTTTAAGAAGTCTCTCGACTTTCCCCATAGAACCGAAGTCCCACAGGTGGATTTTTTCAGTCTCTCGACTGTTCCCATGAATAAATAACATTCACAGGTCAATTTAATATGGCTTTATTTTCTTAATAAGGGGATTGGCCGGAAATGACCCATCCAAATAACGTGTATTGGGCAAGTGGAAGACCCGGGCTAGAATGGATTTTTCCTTTAATAATGGAAGCACTTAGTTCTGGCCCTAAAACCAACGCGACCTGTCCCGACTGATTAAATGTGGGATCAGCTAACTGAATCCCGTCAAATAAAGTTAAAATGTCGTTGGAAATATTTTCCGGTGGAGTACGAATACCGACCATTTTCCTCACTGTTGCAGACAACGTTAGTTGAGGGTGATGCGCGTATATTGAGCCGATAGTCAAACCACATATATTAACGCCGTTCGCAGACGAGACAGGCAGCCTAAGCTGCTGGACTAGGGACTCACAAACATAAGACATCGGACAACACAAGTCTAAAACCGCTCGGACCAAAATTCGACGGTTGCCTATCAACAAATTTACCTTTAAGGTCGGAGACAGGTTAATAGCATGTCTTAATGGCACATTAGAAGCTTGGACGGGATAGGGAATCGATTTCGCTTTTGACTGCGCTGAAGTATGGGGTTTAGGTTTCGCGTCTTTCTTCTTTTGACCTTTTCCTGGTGAGTGCAAAAGAGAGTGGTGATTGTCGTGGCATATGTTGCACTTCACCAACGACTTGCACTCATTAGCCAGGTGTTTTGTTGATAAACAACGGTAGCAATGTCGATGTAGAACGACAAATCTGAGCTTCTTTTCGTGAGACAACTTTCGGAAACTAGCGCACCTATACAGCGGGTGTCTTCCTTTACATTGCTTACACACATTCGAGCCCGAGGATTCCACTTTTGACGCCTTTGCGGTTGTGGGAGCTGCTGCCGGGTCTGGATCGGTAGATTCAGAAGACTTCTCAACCGAAGCGACCTTTAATGTAAGCAACTCTGGTGCTGAAGCAGGTACCGAAGCAGATGCCACAGCAAGTGTTGGAGTAGGGGCTGGAGATGGTATTGGAGCAGGTACTGGAGCAAGTACTGGAGCAGTTACTGGAGCAGTTATTGAAACAGGTACTGGATCCGGCACTGGGGTATCCTTAGATCCCTGGTCCTCTACCTCCATCACTTCCTTGTCCGACTCCAAGAGAGCATCTTCCATCGCAATGGTTAAAGCGTCCATGGTACTAGGAACAAGGAAAGTTATTTAATATTTTTAATTTTATAATGTTTCATTAGTCAAAACGACTAATTTTGTGATTGGTCGCTTTATTATGCCATTTTCTGTTCGTATGTCAGCGACGCGAACATGTTCATCACTTCCCGGATAAGTTTTAACAACTCTACCTAGTTTCCAGGAAGTCGGAGACATTTGTTCATTTTTTATAACTACTAAGTCACCTACAGATAAGTCTCGTTCAGGGTATTTCCATTTATATCTTTTATGAAGATTTGATAGATATTCTTCCTTCCATCGTCGACAGAAGTGATGGGATAGCGCTTTGACTTTCATATATCTATTTATGAGACTGATTGGGGATTCATATATAGAAGGCTCCGGGGGAGCTAGTATTGGTGATCCGATCAAAAAATGACCAGGAGTAAGAGCTACTGGCTCATTCGGATCATCACTCATTGGACACAACGGTCTCGAATTAAGACAAGCCTCAATTCTTGCGAGAACCGTCGATAGTTCCTCAAAGGTATATTTCACGGACTTAGCTTCTTTACGGAAATGAAGTTTAAAACTTCGAACTCCCGCTTCCCATAGGCCTCCCATATGAGGAGCGCCTGCTGGAATAAATCGCCAAGTTAGTCCATTAATACCGTAAGTGGAACACATCCGAGCACGACTTTCTGACAAAAATGTTCTAAAATCCCTTTCCAGTTCACGCGAAGCTCCCACAAAGTTCGTTCCGTTGTCGGAGAACATAGTAGTGGGACAACCTCGTCTCGATATAAATCGATTAAAAGCGGCCAAGAATCTATCAGTTGATAAATCTGAAGTGACTTCCAAATGGATGGCCTTAGTCGCAAAACAGACAAAAATACAAACATAGGCCTTTAAAGTTTGACACGATCTACTATTTAAGTTTCTTATGTCAAAAGGCCCAGCAAAGTCGACTCCAGTTGTCGTAAACGGTCGGCCTATCTGAGTTCGTTCGGGGGGTAATGCTGCCATTATTTGGGTACAGGTGCGCTTACGGTCAAGAATACACCGTTTGCACCGATTAATAACAGCTCGAACTAGTGTTTTTAGTCGAGGTACCCAATATTCGATCCTTAAGATCCTGAGCATTAACTGATTTCCACCGTGGATAGAAATCGTATGTACGAACTCAATCAAAAGACGGGTAAAGCGACAAGAATATGGCAACAATATGGGATGCCGTTCGGTATAGACTAATGAAGGTGATTTTGTCAAACGACCATTAAGTCTCATAACACCCTCATTATCCAGAAATGGATTCAAAGTCAATAAAGGACTTTTCGAAGATAGTGGTCTTTTATCCAAAAGACATTGGTATTCTTCGACAAAATTTACCTTTTGAGCCAAAATGGCCAATCGTAGTTTTACTTTCTTAACCTCAATGTTTGTCACGATGGTAGACTCAAAGGAATTCTGATTTTTATGAGCCGAGTGAGTTTTATAGAAAAATCTAAATACATAGGCTAACACTCGAATTGCCCTATCAAGAGAAGAAAATCTCTCAAGAATGTCTTCATAATTCGAAAAAAATGAAGCATGAGATTTTACTGCACGAGCCTCTAAGTCCGTATCTAATAAAGCCAAATTTCCTAGATTCCAGGTAGTGCTTTTTTCCCGAAGCCAATTTGGACCATGCCACCATAGATTGTTCTGTATCAAATCAGAGGGTGAAATACCCCGACTTCCCAAGTCTGCTGGGTTGTCGTCAGATTTGACATGGTGCCAATTATGTCTTCCGACCACTTCCTGAATTTTACAAACTCTGTTGGCTACAAAGGTTGCCCATGAACAAGGGTCCTTTTTCAGCCAAGCAAGGACGATTGTAGAATCAGTCCAACAATATATTTGACATAATGGGATGTCAATTTCGAATAATACGGATTTTAAAAGATCCGTCGCAAGAAGTGCACCACTGAGTTCAAGTCGTGGTAGAGAAATTGATTTGATGGGAGCTACTTTCGTTTTAGCAGTTAACAGATGGGTATAAATTTCGCCATTAGGTCTTTCGACTCTAGCGTAAATTACCCCTGCATATGCTTTTTCAGATGCATCTGAAAAGACGTGAAGCTCCACTGTAGAATTAGGTATATAATTAACCCATCTAGGAATCTGGATGTCGTTTACTTCATGATATGAAGCAGCAAATTTTTGCCATTCGGCTTCAGTAGCGGGCTTAAGAGCTGCGTCCCAATCTATCTGGTCTTGCCAAACCTTCTGCATTATCATCTTAGCGACAATAATGACTGGTCCTAACCATCCAACAGGGTCAAATAATCTAGCTATTATAGATAGTACCTCCCTTTTCGTGTGACTTGATCGCATCGAAATACGATCCACATTAAAATAAAAAGAGTCCGAATGAGCATTCCACCGTAACCCAAGAGTTTTTGAGCTACTTGACTCAATAAATGTCAATAGTTTGGCATCTACTAAATGCTCAACGGGTATACCAGATAAGATGGCTTTCTCATTCGAAGTCCATTTCCTAAGAACAAAACCCGCTGATGCTAAAGCCGCTATAAGTTGATCGCGAGCGATCAAAGCGGTTGAGATCTCGTGAGTCCCAGTTAATACGTCATCGACGTACATACATTTCCGAAGTATTTTCGCCGCTAGAGGGTACTCAGCTTCGGAATCTTCAGCCAATTGTACCAAGGTACGAATGGCAAGATAAGGTGCACAATTAACACCGAAGGTTACAGTCTGTAACTCATACTCTTGAATTTCCTCCGTCGGAGAATCACGAAACAAAATTCGTTGAAATGGAGTATGAGAACTATCAAGTCTAATCTGCCTATACATTTGTGTTATATCACAATTAAACACAAACCTAAAAAAGCGCCAACGTAAAATCAGGAGAACGAGATCTGCCTGTAATGTGGGTCCCACAAATAAACAATCGTTAAGACTGTTGCCGTTAGACGTTTTATTCGACGCATTGAAAACCACACGTAATTTTGTGGTCTTTCTGTCCAATTTTATAACTGGATGATGAGGCAGGTAGCAAGAAGATGAAGGAGAGTCTTTAACTGGACGCATATGGTCTAAAGTTAAATATTCCTTAACGACGTCATCATACATATTCTTGATGACAGGATTTCTCAAGAGAGAGGATTCTGTCCGTATAAATTGCGCCCTAACATTCTGTTTAGACTGACCTAAAGTTAACGTCTCGGGAAATTCAGGTTTAATCCCTACGAGTAGTTTTCTTATAATTGTCCTCACACATACGATCATGTGCTGACATAAGTTTCCGTTTAGGAGGTTCCTCTATTTCCCAAAATCTAAGTAAGGTACTATTTATATTATCTTCTTCAGAAAATTCAACTCTAGTGCTGTATACCTGAATTGAAGACTGAGGAACCGGACCAGTAATAATCCAGCCGAAAATAGTTTTCTGAGCCACTAATGTCCCTAAAACCTTTCTAACTGAACCCATTATAATTCGTGGATATAAATCTGCCCCTAAGAGTAGATCTACTGGTTTAGAATCAAATAAGTTAGTATCTGCCAAACGTATATTTGGCAAATCATTTCGATACTCATTCGATATAACAAATGAGGGTAAATCACCAGAGATCGTTGGCAAAACGAGAGCTACTGTACTCAAAACAATTGAAGAGTCCAAGGGCGTGCCAATATAAATGGAACACGATTTCCTTGATATTACAGAATTCGCCTGGTTGATACCAGATATTTGAGCATTCGTCGATTGCGTCAAAATTCTTAAACGATTCTGTACTCTTTCGGAAATAAACGATGATTCCGAAGCAGGGTCAATGAGAGCACGAGCTGGGTACGTCATACCCTGGTGATGAATATTCACCATCGCTGTTCCTAACAATACGGTTTGGTTTTGCGAAGTATAAAACGCCTGTCTATTAATAGGAGCTGAGGTGTTAGAGCTGTTAGATGTTGCTACTTGAGAAGAATCTGTGGGTATAGATAGAGCAGCTTGTGATATAGCACTTGTGCTCGGACCCGAATTAGAAGTTCTAGAACTTCCATTTGAATCCTCTGAAGTAGGCACATTTCTATGTAACATAGTATTGTGCTTCTTTTTACAAATAGAACAACAATGCAGACTCTTACAATCCTTCACTTCATGATTTCGTGACAAACAATTAATGCAATAGTGATGTTTCTTAATAGCCGAGAATCTGTCCATTACCGAAAGTTTTTTAAATCTCTTACAATCCCGCAGAAAATGGCTTTGATTCTTGCATAAAATGCAAGAAAGGGAAGAAGATGAAGTGGCATGGTGCGCCTTCACCTTTGGAGTCGATAATTTTTTAGATTGTGGGACTTCCCTAATGTCACGTAGACATTCTAAGGTCTGAATTCTTTCTGTCAGAAATGCATCCAGATCTTTCCAAACAGACAATACGAATTTGTCTTTTATACTTTGTTCCCATAAGGTAACAGAGTTATCGGGTAGTCGTTGAACACAAAGGAAAACAATTATCGGATCCCAATTTTCCGTCGAAACATTATATATTGATAAGGCCGAAAGACAACTGTTTATACCTCTTTGTATGGTCTTGAGACCTTCAGAAGTTTCCTTTTCAATAATAGGAAGATTAAAAAGAGATTTAAGTTGGTTGTTAACCAACATACGTGGATTTTCGTAAGCAGCCCTAAGGCTATTCCACGCCATGTCAAATCCTAAATGCGAAATAGGATATTTAGCTACTATTTCCTTTGCATCACCACTAGTCTTACGTATAAGATGACACATCCTTTCTATGTTGGTGAGACGAGTATTATTTACGTATAACACAGTAAATAGATCCCTAAAAGCGGGCCAAGAGAGATAATCTCCGTCAAAGGTCTCAACATCGCAGGGCGGTACTACTAAACTATGGTGAGTTTCAGTATTGTTCTGGCTAACTACTGGAGAATCACTAGTCTTTTGAGTTTGGGCATAGGTGTGCAATCGTTCTTTAATATTCGATAAACAGTTAACGAATGCATTATAAGTCGCCTGATACTTTGATGATACGACATCTATATCATCAGGTTCTGTTGTGTCCGAAGTAGCTAAATAGTCTAGATATGTCTGATAGGTTGACTTAACCTCGTTCATTAAAACCTTCAATTCATCGGAATGAACCTCTAAGCTAAAAACAGTGAGTCTTTCTTCCCTAAGACTGTTCATATTAGCTTCAAAGCTTATGAGAGCATCAGAAGCTCTAATAAAGAGAGCAAGAGCAGGCACAGACATAGTTATTTTAATATAAATGCGATTAAATAAAATAAATTTAATAATTTAATTCAATTTAATTTTATCTTTATTTAAAAGACTTCAATTTATCACGATTTATTATTACGTAACGTATTTAAATTGCACAAAGGAAACAAATAATTTAATAAAATTGCAAATTTGATACAAATTTTATTAAAAACTGTGAAAAAATATTTAAATAATAACCAAATTTAATATTAGTCAAACCGACCGACCGTAGGGTAACAACTCAAAACGGAAGAAGAAGCAGATAATTGTATGTATGTATATAAAGATTATGTACAAGGTACATAAACATAAAATTCTTTATTTATTTCACTTCTTCTTTGTTTTATTTGTTATTATTTTTATTGTTATATTTTATTTTTATTATTTAATTAATATTTTTTCACACCCGATTTTATTAAATTTATTTTTCGCACTTTCTTAAAAATTTTCTTTTAATTTTATTTTATCTTCACTATGTCTGTCCGTTTATGTAAACAAATGCACGGTAGATATATTAAGCACTGACAAAAAGGTAGTCACTAATGTCAAACAAAAAAAAGGCAGTTGGCAAAGCAATCAATCACAATAATACACAAGAAAGCTTTCTGTGTATGTGTGAATATAAATTTAATAAACAAGACTTGTTCTTTTGTCTTTCTTTTATATTTATTCTTTTATATGCACTTTAAATTTCTTTGTAATAATATCACTCAAATTCAAAGATTACGCACCTTATAAATCCAAATTTTTTATTAATGTTGGTGGATGAAATGGTGGTGGTTTTTTCTTTCGAAGAAAAGATGGCGATCTTAAAGAAACCAAATACACAAGAAATTAATTTGAGTGCTTCAAATAATCCGGCTTCAAAAATCCGGCTCGATCGGACCAAATGTTTTTGTGTGTGCAGAAAAAGAAATAAAAAGACAAGAAAGTTAAGTTTTTTCAAAAAAAAAAAAGTTTATTTATTAAATTTATATTTACCTTAAAGATTCTCAAAAGGGGTTGTGCACTAAACCAAGTGGTTGTAATGGCGTTCACTTAACAAGTGTTTTAAAAAACAAAAAAAAACTATGCAACTAGTTGCGAATTACTTTATACCGTTAGCGGTTTTACTAGTTAGAATTTATCTCTACACTTTTTCAAAGATGAAAAAAGAAGTAGTTAGATAAATCCTAACGTAGTATAAAGGGAATAGAAAATAGGGTTTCAAATTAATTTCTAAAATGAACAATGTATATTGTTCAGAACTGTCATATATAAGGATCAATCCAAAGTATCGTACACATAAACACGTATGTTTGCCTCCCATACTTGAAGGTTCTTTCTGACTTGCCCCGGTGAACATCCATCTATATGATATTAAAGTTGGGATGACTCCTCCGATGACATTCCAGGAGGTACTGTTTTGTCCTCGACTTCGTTTCCTCGTATAGGATGCTGTTCAAAGGTAATTTGAAGACTTTGGAAGTCCTTTGAATGCAAACTTTTGGCAGCTTTCAATATTTCTGTCGCTAAGCCGAGGTGATCATACGGGAGTTACATAATAAAGCGCATTTGGCCGTCCAATTGTTATGTATTTATATATAGTCATTGAGGTTTTCTTATCCATAGCCCAAGTGTTGCCAGCTAGCGCTTTGAGAACCTTGAAACAATTTCGAAATTTATACGCGATTGCTGTAGCCTGAGCTGAGAAGTAAGAAGCTATAAAAGGTGATCCCAAAAATAAATTTTCCACCCTAAATTGGCTAAAATAGTAGCTATATTCTCTTTTTTACTGCCATTTTTCTTGGTTGATATCATTTTGAATGTTTTCTAAAACTATTTAACTTTTCTATCAAAATTGGCTTAATACCTGCTACTCTTGTAGATAAATGTACTCAGAATCTGATGGTGTTGGATGGAACGATTTGTATAAATACCATGGATATGTAAACTTCACTATTGAGTAGTTTCTCTCATTTTTTTTCAATATCGACAACTTTTGTATTCAGTTAAGATCATGCCAGATATGGCGATGTTTTTGTACTTTTTATAAGCTGAGGGGGGACAATCTGAAATCTTATTGTTTTAATATTGTTACGAAATATACTGCGATTATAAATCCTTTATTTTAATACTAATGAATCTCCTGTAATCCTTATATTTTCCTAGGTCAATTGTTGCAAGGCATCCTTTCTAGTCTTCAACGTTGATTTCAAATCAGCTTCGTACTTTTCATCCAGCATAAAATGTTTGCTAATATTCTTCTTTATTTTGATATGCTCGGTATTGGGAAATTCTCAGTTTTAAAGCTCAACACTGAACAGTTGTAATATTCATAGAATCCTTTTGTGTGGCTTTAGTTTTTGCAACAGATATACTCTTCTTCTAAGGGCAGTTTTGATACACAACAATTTCACTTACGTTACATGTTAAAATTAGAAACAGAATTAATAGAATTGAATGATTTTATTGACTTGATTCCTGCATTTACGCCCTTGTACATGTACATCTGCTAGCATAGGATATTTACCGTTGACTCAAGAAGGTGTTCGAATAATCTTCAAACTTTATAAACTATTTTATTATATTGTAAAGCCCGCTTTAAATTATCCAAACACTATTCATCTGCTTGCTCCATGTCTCATAATTGGTTTCATCCAATGGATTTGTTGGACTTTATTCCGTTAACGTTATCAATCATAGCCGTTGCGAGCTCTTCAATAATTAATTATATGATTTGATTTTTTTGGCTCAACAAGCAACGACTTTAATTGAGCCAATTTAGAACTTGCACCAACGAAATTTGTTGCATTATCACGGAATATATATGTAGGCACACCTCTACGACCAATCATCCTTTTTAGGGCAGCGATGAAGGCATCTGTTGACAGGTCGGATACGACTTCAATGTGGACTGCTTTCGTTGCGAGACAAACAAATATGGCAATGTATGTTTTATATGGAACATTTCCTCTAATACGCAGATAAGTGTTGACTGGACCACAAAAATCGACTGCCCACCTTGCGAAGGGCCTTGACGGTTTGAGTCGGTCTACATTCAAATTTCCCATCATTGATTTCTGTGGTTTTTTGGGAAAATTCATCGGTTATGAAATTCAATTGAGAGCAAGAATCCAACAAAGCGCATCCCAATTAATAGCGACCAGTGGAGTCACGAACTAGAACCATGGCAGTAGCAAGCAGCACCTGTTCCGGCGAGGATTTTTCCATATGGGTATGTACCGAGGCGGAAGATTCATTCAAGGCAACATGAGAAGAGTTAGGTTCAGCAGCAGGGGGCGAGAAGCTGGTTGAGAGCGATGAAGCAAACTATGATGCGAGCGAAAACAAAATTTGCACTTGAATGTGGAGTAACAACTACTTACTTGATGAACTTTGGACAAACAATTTAGACAAGGGCCTAGACGATTTGGAAAGCCTTGACCGTTTCCAGAGCTTGGCCTTGCAGGCAGTTGAGCAAATGGTTGAATTTTTCAATGTTTGATAAGACAAACTCACGATCGATAACTGATTGAACAAAGTTATGAAATTCTTATATTCACAGTACTTACCACTAAATGTGGGCAATTGGAGTTGAGGCAATTTATGGCTGGAAGTTGGGAAACAAATGGTGGACTCGGACAACGTTTTATTATGAACATCCAAGATTCATTTTGGTTCAGATGTACAAATCTTCGATTTCGGGCCTAGCATTGTCTTCGGAATCGTATTTCTCAACTTGGGTTTGATACGTCAGGTTTTGCTTAAAATACGACTCCAAAATCCCCAAGCGGCACTTCAAATCGCCTGATGAAAGTGTTTTACCTTCTCCCCTTCCAATGGCTTCGATTTGGTTCTTGATGCGGGTAATACTCTTCTTAGTATTAGACCGTATTAGAGTCACTATGTATTTAATTATTTTTCAGCAAAAACCGTTTCTATTTATCGAGCCCACAAAATTTTTATAATGTTTCGTAATAGGTTTTTTTAAAAAATTGATTTGTAGTAGGTACGTCACCACAAATTAGTTTAACAATTTTTTATGTTGCACTGTCTCTTGATTTTGCAAATAGTTTTTTTATGTCTTCTCACAAAGTTTTTTATTTCTGTTAGCACTAGATATTGCTTTTGTATTTGAACCATTGATTCCACTTCACAATACGACCGTACACCTTTTCTTTAAGTTGTACTTCAACGACAATTTTAGAATATACCACGAAGCGAAAACAACAAATTTAGCAAGGTTTAGAAAAATCACTTCCCTTTTACAAAGTTTTGGTGGATCAATGTTTCTAAGTTAAATAATGGAAACATAAATATTAAATTATATTTTTTAATAAATTCATTAGATAACTTTGTTCTTCTAAAAGAAATGGATGTCATATTTGAATCCTTCTTGAGCTTTATGTAATACCATTACACTTGTTATATATAGATTCCTTTTATTTTCTACTTATAATATTCTTTTCCATTAGATTGTTTATCAATTTCGTTACAGTAAGTAAAGACCAATACATCCTTTCCCTTGAAAGTTTATGGAAGCCACATAGAATCAATAGCTTGAGATAAACCTTTAGTTCTGCAACAGGGACTCTAAAATTGTGAAGATTGTTTTGATAAGAGTACAGCTGACTAAAATCGGATATCACTTTAGAAATCTCTTCATCGAAAAACATTTCAAATATTTGAACAGGAGTCAGTTTCATATATGACTCTGTCGTCAGTTTTAATATAAGTCTTTGACTAATTTGAAAACTGCCTTCTTTTAAAACTCTTTACATCCTTAGAGACTTGTCACTTCACAGTATTTTTTTTAATTTCCCAAATATTAAACCTTTTGATCCTTTGATGATATCACTTCACCATATTGGCTATCACTTCACTGTATGTTTCAATCCTTGTGTATTGTAACTTGTATGTTAAAATTTCCAATTATATACTTTTTAATATTTATATTTTGGGTAACGTCTCCCAATTTGTTTATTGCATAGCGTAATACTAATATTAGTTCCGCTTAAGGAAGAAAATAATTTGAATTTGAAGACTATATATTGAAGATATTTTTCATTGATGCAATGTTCTTCTTGGAATAAATGTTCAGCTTCGTTTACTATAGGCAATTATTCCTTTTCTATTTCAAACTCTTTCCCATGTTTCATTCCTATTGAAGCAATGAATTCGAGCATTGCATGATGGCAGTTCCAAACTATGTTTTACCCTAAGATTGTATAAACATAACTCTTAGAATCTTGATGAACCACATTAGAAGGTTCCCTAACAAATGTTCATCCTGACTTTCTTCCCAATTGTTGTATTCTAGCAAGTCATACTAAAACATTGCGCAGATGAATCTGCTAACACATCCTCTCATGTCCTTTCCTTCCAGTCTGAATAAGTATGTAAGTAAGTAAGTAAGAAAGTAATTGAGTTGTAGGACAATCAGAAATATCCGCGTTTCATAGATTTGTTTGCTGTAATGTGAGTGAAAAACAATCTATTAACTTTATAAATAAATTATTCACTTGAGTTTAAATATCACTCGCATATCCATTAACTGTGAGATCTCATTCCTCTTTTTTTCCGACATTATTGAAATCTATAAACATGTACATTTTTACATTTATATTTCTAGCAACGTCTCCCAATTTGTTTATTGCATGGCGTAATACTAATATTAGTTCCGTTTGTGGAAGAAAATAGTTTCTTTAAATTTGAAGACTATATATTGAAGATTTTTATCGTTGATGCAATGTTCTTCTTGGAATAAATGTTCTGATTCGTTTGTCACAATTATTCTTTTTCTATTTCGATTTCTTTCTCTTCCTAAAATGATCAAAACGATCTCTCTGTCCTAAACCAAACAACATCGCTCTGTGTAATTACTTCATAGGGTGTTGTTAAAAACAGGCTTCACACCGTATCCCAGTACACTTCATCCTCGGGGAGAACTAGTTTAGACAGCATTCGACCTACTTGCCTCTCTTTTGATAACTTTTATTTTTACCTAAATTTCCATGTTGTTCTGGGAAAGCAATTTTTCAGGGAAATGCTGAATGCTCAAATCTATTGAAGCAGATTCTCCTTGTGGTTTTAGATGACGT